AAAAATGAAATTTCAACAAGAACCCCCAAGAAACAAATTCAAGAAACAAAAAGGGAAAGTAATAATCAATTAATTTTTTTTTTAAATGGAACCAACCCTTGGGTTTAATAAAAATGGTCCCCCCCAAAAATTTAAGGAATTAATTTAATTGAATTTTGAAAACCTAACCCCAATCCCCTTCAAACTCCAAAAACAAATGAAACCCCAACCAACCCCGCCCAAAAATAACGCCCAAAAAAAAAGCAATGCCAACGAAATTTCCGAAGGTCAAAGAAACCCCCCCCCAACAACCCCGCCCCCGGGAACAAAAAAACCCAAAAAAAAAACAAAAACCAAAAGGAAGCCCCAACCCAATTAAACGAAAGGCCAACCGCCAAAACCCTCCCCAACTTCAACCTCAAACGCCCCAAGAACCCAACAACGAAAAAATTAAAAAACCGAAACCGAAAAGGGAAGCAAACGGGATTCTTCGTGAAATAAATAAAATATGGAATTGTCGGGGAGAACAATATTTAATAAAAAAAATAATAAGTCTCGATACATTAAAAAATAAATAAAAAAAAATAATCTTCTTAATCGTCTAAATGTTACTGCACATAAATTAATCTTTAAAATCACCCTTGTCTAATTAGATTAACTGAAAAGTTTCTGAAGTCTATTAAATCAATAAAGAAATAAATAAATAATAATGAATTAGTCAAATAGCTCCAAAAGATTAACATCAAACAACTGAGTCACAAGACTCAAGTTGTTATTATCATAAAAACTAAATGAAAAAAGGAATAATAGAAAAGACAAGCGAGTTACAAGACTCAGTTGCTCAGAGTCAGACAAGTCAAAATTTCAATCAGAAGAATATTACATTAAATCGTCAAAAATACTCGGTGACTCGAAACAGTATCACAGAAAATCGATCGGTCATCGTGACCTGGGACAACAATAACACAAGAAAATACGAATTAAGAGACAAATAATCCCAGCGTCACAAGACCTTGAAAATAGCAGAAATTAAGATAAAATCCAATGGTGAGATAAAAAATTAAGTTTCGCGACACAAAATTATCGAACAAAAAGTCACAAAACTATCGAAAATATTAACTAACAAATTTAATATAAAATAAACCTGAGTTAACTGACCCGAACACGAGAGAGAGAGAGAGCCAAAAATTGCTGAGAGAAATGGCCAGAGATTCACTGATGAAATAATTAACGAATAGTCCTTCAGGACTCGGATGTACGTAACATCAAATAGAATGAATTAAAATCTCTGCCCACTATAAAAAAAAAATCACAAAATAAGAACGGCCACCACGCTCACCTAAATCTCCAAAAATCTCCTCAAAACCCTCGAACTTCTCAAAAAGCCCAAGAAACGGATGAGTATAATGTATGGCGTCCCTCAAACTTAGTTGGCGTCCTTGATCCAGAATTTTGACAATAGGTCCGCCCCAATTAACCACCAAACGGGAAGTGAATTTTGAGATACACGTGAATCGACAACAAGTAGGTAACGCGATGAATTAGATAATTGGGGGGGATGACATCGTCATCATCCACCAATCCCAATCAAATGGCCATGCGCGACAGATAATAATTTTCACTGATAATAATCACGCATGCGCTAGAAATTTTTGGCGATGCTTCATATCAATTTCCTTAATTATTATAAATGATAATATATCCTCAGCGCTGCCTAATAAAATCTAAAACAATTTTTGCGTTACAAACTACCTCGAGAGAATAGTAACTCTCCTGTAATAATTCTTATCCTATTTTTCATAAATTGCCCATCAGCTCAGCCTGGTGGTCAGCAAACTGCGTCACTTCCGTCGTAATTGATATCTGGATTGTGGCTCCATTGTCGGCCACATCAAAAATCCAGTTATCAACAAAAATTCGAAGTCCGATGGCATCTCTCGGCGTCCAGGGATCCTTGACGATGTCCTCGGATTGAAATGCGGTGGCGCGTAATTTTGAGTTAAAAATAAGACAAAATAAAATCAATTAAATACTCTCCTATCTTCTCAGAATTCTCGCCATTGAAGGTGACTTCCCGTCTGGTGGAAGTCTCAAAAATCGCGAAACGGTCAAGAACCAGTAACTGTTAAAAATACCACGTTACAGCATATGTATATACAGGGTGTCCGAGATAAAATTGTACACCCAAATAACTATTGAATGTGGGTAGTAATTGAAAAATCTTTCAAATAGAAGTTGTAGGGCTCCAAGTGGGAAAAATAATGAGATATGTTTTGAGCATTTAAGTCTTCATGTTTTTATGCTACAAGCATAAGTTCATTTTTTTCATATGGGATCAAAAATTTTCTTGTAACAAAAGTTGTTGTACTCGATGAGATGAAGCTAATGATCTCACACATAATGTGTTTTTTATGCTTTCTGAGCTCAAAAATACTAAAAATGGAACTTGTCAACGATATTTCAAATTCAGACACGATGAACAGAAAGTGGTCTTTAAATAAGAACCAGTAAACACCAAAGTGTAAATACCAGAGCTATATGGTGGACCTTACTGTTTATTGTTTCTTAGTTGGTACTAATCGGGTCATTATTGAGTTCAGATTATTTTTGAGTGATTTCGCGTATCATGGTTTATTCCGCAAATGAAGTTGTGGATATTCTACTGGTTTTGGGAGAATGCCAAGGTGCATATCGCGCGACCGCGCGATTGTATCGACAACGGTACCGAAATCATATCAGATTGACACAAGCACTGTCTGCACAAGATAGACAGAATCGCGTTGCTTTTTGACACTGGGCCATAGGGATCTTGAACGAAAGTCCGGAGTTTTTCCAAAATGTCCTTTTCAGTGATGAAGCGACATTTAAAAGTACTGGCGCATTAAACCGTCATAATTCCCATTATTGGTCTATGGAAAATCCTCACTGGACTCAGCACATTGACCACCAGCATCAGTGGAGTGTAAATGAGTGTTCTGGCATTGTTGATGGGCAAGTGATTGGGCCGTATTTTTTCAACAGAACAGTCACGGGTCAACGCTATTTACAGTTTTTACAAGATGACCTCCCAGTTTTATTGGAACATGTACACTTTGACACAAGACTAAGAATGTGATTCCAACAAGACGGTGCGCAACCGCATTTTGCACTGTGTGTAAGGAATTATCTCAATGTTCTGTTTCCTCGTCGTTCGATCGGCAGAGGTGGTCCTGTTCTTTGGCCTCCGCGATCACCTGATCTAACTCCATTTGATTTTTATTTATGGGGCTACATTAAAGATGTAGTCTACAAAAATCGACCAACGACTGCAGAAGACATGAAAACACGTATCAGAGGCGCTATTGCCAACATTCCTCAACAAGCGCTTCGAAATGTTGTGCAGAGTTTCCGACGTCGACTTGAGTTGTGTCTGGAAGTGAATGGTGGAAACATTGAGCACTTGTTGTAACGTCTTTCTAGTAGAACAATCCATTGGCACCTTTTTGTTTCTCCTTTATTTTTCTGTTTATCGTGTCTGAATTTGGAATATCGTTGACAAGTTCCATTTTTAGTATTTTTGAGCTCAGAAACCATAAAAAACACATTATGTGTGACATCATTAGATTCATCTCATCGAGTACAACAACTTTTGTTACAAGAAAATTTTTGATCCCCTATATGAAAAAAATGAACTTATGATTGTAGCATAAAAACAAGAAGACTTAAATCCTCAAAACATATCTCATTATTTTTCCCACTTGGAACCCTACAACTTCTATTTGAAAGATTTTTCGATTACTACCCACATTCAATAGTTATTTGGGTGTACAATTTTATCTCGGACACCCTGTATATATAACTTTGAACTTGACCACGAACGGGAGAGAGGAATTTTCTTAATAACTTATCATTTTCTGAACTGATTTCTTGTCAGTAAAATTTTATAGGTACATACTAGGTAAGAGTGTTATAAGTGTTTTGTCGACGTGAAATAGTAAATGGTCTCCTCATGTCGACAATATTTCTCGGCTTCTAAATCCCGTGCCGAACAGTTTAAGCTAAGTGGGCCCTTTAAAGACCCATGCGCCAAAATTATTGTTCAATCGAAAACATGCAACAGGTCAAGCTTCGTCAAGGTTTGATACTCTTCGATTGCCCCTATGTATAAATCGTGCATACCTTTCCCATTCACGTCCATTTCCATTGTTAAAAGCTCTCACGATCAATATTTAAGGACATACTTTCTTAGAAACGAATACTATTCTTTTCTCTTAGTTTTGTTTCTTCTTAAGTTGAAGTATTCACGTGATCCCATCACGGCCTCAATTTAGTATAACGCAGGCTTATCCACTAGCAGGTAACAAATTTAATTTATGCCGTCAATTTTTTAGGGGTGAGATATCATTGAAAATTTATGAATCAAATTGAAAAAGAATGAGCTGCGTATCTTGATGAGCAATTTTAATATTGTATAGCGTTAGAATGATATACCGGTTTTGGGTATTTGGCAAAACGACAAAACGAAACATCGTAAAAAACCCAAAGATCATGCTTCTGTTAAAAATCCAAAATGCATTTTTGTTGTTGCATGAAACAACGTTCATTAGAAATGGCAAAAAACAACGAAATCAAGGAAGCCCGCCAAGTTTGCAAAACGAAGGGAGAAGACAAGAATCATTACATGGAGGACCAGCGGATTTGACGTTGTTTGTCCTCTTATAACCGATGTCTTGTATTAACTGAATTCTTTCATCTCAGTGACTCTTAAAGATTGGTCAACGTAAGAATATGCGTCGCACTCTTGCACTTGCAGAATTTGCTTTTCCCATTCTACTTTTCAATTTTCTCTTTTTTCCTTTATTTTCCTTCTTTTTCAATTTTTGATGGCAGTTATTTCGCGTGAACTTGTAAATAAAAACTTATTTGGTCGTTTTTTCTTCACAAAAAAGTGATTTCGCGATTCTTATTGAGATATAAGTTTCCACATGGAATATGGTTTATCTAACATGACATGACTTAATTTTTTAAAAGTAATGACTTACACTTGTCAAGAAGTTGACATCCCCTAGTTGCTTTTTTGATTCACTCCACGTTGGTTCTGAATTTTTCAGTATCATAATGGCAGCCATGACTATTTCTAGTTTTGGCGGTGGACGTGCAAACGATTTAATTTCGGCCAAGTCCTTTTTATTGAGTGTATCAAGCGCTTTCGTGGCTTCTTCAAGGGCAGGTTCCACAGAAACAAGATCTGCGCGAGCGATTTCCTCCAGTCTTTTACATTCTTTTGATTCTTCTGTAATTTTCGCCGATCGAATCTTAATACTTTTTTCCGCTTCATCAGTGTCTCGTTTTTGATTAACGATGTTGAGCAAGAATCTCTCACAATTTTTTGTTGATTGGAGAACTTGCTCTTGCATTATTTCCAACTCTTTTGCCATGTCGCTCACTTTCTCCTTTGCATCATCAATCTTGAAGAGGCCACATCTAAGTTTGGCTGATTGTTCAACGAGAGTTCGTCTTTTTGAAATTAACATCCTAGTATGATAGAAAACACAAGATAATAACTGCAATGATGCGATGTGTTCATTCAACTAAAAAACCGTACTTTTTGTATCGAAGAACGAGTTCCAAAAAATGTGATGGTGTCACGTAGTTATGTCGGTTCATCTCAGTCAACATTTTTGCGGAATGTTGCACGGCTGAGTCATGAAGGAGTGCAAATGAAGAGGAGATACTATACCGCATTCGTTCTTGAAGAGGTAGAATGGGAGTTTCAGCTTCCGACCTCCTTGGCTCCTATTCAACAATACAAAGAGTGAAGTGGCGCAGTAGAAAAATCAATGCCAGAAATCCATTTCAAAAACACGAACAACTATTTGCTTTGCTCGTTACAAAAAAATATAAAATCATTCATTTACCACTTTATCTTCTCCCGTGATCGTACTAATTAAATTGAGATCTAGAAGATACTTGTTGCTTATTTCTAGTAAAGCATCTTTGGGCCAAGGAAGAAACCAATCTATCGTCGTGCAATTTATAAGCGAAGGATATTGTCTCAGACGGTTACGGAATTTGTCACCAACAGGACTCATGCAGAGTATCATCCGTAGATTAACACGTAGGCGATTAATGAGGACAAGATAAACAGATTCAAGTGTAGGTGAAATTCCACTTTTAGATGTGGCGGTCGTCAGACGATTTCGAATCTGTCAGGGTTAGAAGGATATTAGGAGGTTAAGCTTCATTGTATTTACTGAGTCTCTTATGTAGTTATGCCCAAACAGTCTGGTGATCAAATAGATGGACTGTGGTTAGGTGTTAAAAATAGTATGTACTTACATCTTCCATTTCATTGAGGTTGTATAAGTTTGTTACTTCACCGGTTCCAAGCATGCTGTTGATGATTTCGAGAAAATGTTCCACTACAACCTGAGTATCATTGAGAAGAAAACAAGTAGGTATGTTATCAACACCAACTTGAGAATAGAGACGTTTCATGTCTTCTCGGAACTCAGGTACTCCGTAGCGTTTAGTCACCTCGATATGAAAGGATTTTAGTTCACTAATGTAACCGGCTAATCTCGACAATGATCGTCGTCCATTACCTCCAATTCCAACTAATAGCATGTGTCCGTTTGGCTATAAAATTAAATGATTTTTTTTTCAAAATTAAAAACATTACAATTCAACCAAAATAAAGTTTTCATATAATTGTTGTGATAAGCAATATGTCCATCTTTATGGATAGAGGGCTTAAAAATGATATACAAGTATTTTACCTGCTCTAAAACCCCTTATCTATTTTTTCTCTCGAATAATTGGCTTTTGGTAGATATATAATATATATAATGTATAATATATAATAGTTATCATAATATGATAGTTAAAGTAGCAAGGCGGAGTCGGAAGCTGGACAGACTGAGGGGCCAGTCCAGAAGACTCTGGAACAGTGCCTATAGCTCCAAAAGGGCTGAAGACAGAAATGAGACGAAGAAGTATAGAAATGGACAGAGGGAGTACAAAAGGCTCATCAAGAAAATGAAGGAGACCGCCTGGAGAGCCTTCTGCAGAGAGCTACAGGCGCTATCACAGGTGGCCAGGCTCCGCAGAGTGTTCTCGGGGGGTCTGACACAAAGGCTGGGTGGAATCACGCTGGCAAACGGGGAGGTCATCACAGAACTAACTGACATTCTGGAGCATCTGGTCCAGACGCACTTTCCTGACTCAATCATACAGCTTTCGGGAGAAGGGCCTATAGAAGACCGAATATGCTCAGGAGGCGGCGAACCCGACTGGGAGCTGGCCGCAAAAATCGTAAGGCTGGACAGGCTGTGCTGGGCAGTGGACTCCCTTGAGAAATACAAGAGTCTGGGCCCGGATGGGATTTATCCGCTGCTCCTGCAAAGAGGAGGTCCGGTCCCGGTACTAAGAGCCTGTCTGGCTCTGGGCTATGTGCCCAGTAGGTGGAGGGAAGTCAGAGTTGTCTTTATCCCCAAACCGGGAAAATGCAGCTATGATAACGCCAAAGCGTATAGACCGATCAGCCTGAGCTCTTTCTTGTTGAAGGCTCTGGAAAGACTCGTCGATAGGCATATCAAGGAGGGAGCGCTGATTACAAATCCGATTTGCTCCTCACAACACGCCTACCAGGCCGGCAGATGGGATTTAGGAGATGTCAGATACCTAGGTATCTGGTTCCACAGGAAGCTCAGCTGGAACAAACACATCGCCATACAGACCAACAAGGTCATCATGACCTACTGGGCATGCAGGCGAATATTTGGATGTACTTGAGGACTAAGGCCCAAAGTAGTGAAATGGATCTCCACGGCCATTATGACCCCACAGCTGACATATGCGGCCGTTGTCTGGTGAACGGCCCTGAATAAGGCCTGCCACAGGAAGACGGTTGACAGGACAGGCAGACTTGCGATGCTGGGCATAACGAGGGCGTTTCTAACGACTCCTAGCTCAGCCTGGGTTACTATTGCAGAGGGAAGACGCGTGTCGGCCAATATGGCACTTCCACAAAAGCTTCATAGTTAACCTCGGGGAGAGGAAAGCTATACACAAAGGGGCTGAGAAATGGGTGCCACTCATGGGGCTAGTCTGGTACACCAGACCAGGTTGAGTGACCGAACGGGAGCGGGGATCTAGTCCGAGGGACCCAGGACAGAGTGCGCCATCGGACAGGATCCACATTCAACCGTGCTCCGGACGGAGCTGGCTGCTCTGAGGACCTGCGCCAGGACGATCCTGGAGAGAGGGGGCAGAGGTAAGAAAATATACATCTACTCAGATAGCAGACGAGCGTTCAGGGCACTACTCAAGCATGGGTGCTACTCGCGGCTAGCAAACGAATGCATAAAGCTGATGGAAGAAAGCGCCATTCACAATCTCCTAGAAGTGGCATGGATTGCAGGCTACACTGGCCTTACTGGCAACATGAAGGTAGATAAGCTAGGAAGAAAGACATGTCGGAGTGTTCCGCCGGAGGCGCGCGACTATGTAGGCCTACACACCGACTTCATAAAGGATTTAATTCAGGAACGTGTGGAGAGGAGGATTGTGGAAAGATGGAACCTGGAACTGGGGACAGACACGCGAGAACCCTCCTAAAAGTACCCACGAAAAAACTGGCAGAGACGTTACTGAGCCTGAGCAGGGATAAGTCCCGCTCGCTGGTGGGTCTTATTACTGGTCACTGGCCTGTGACTTCCTACCTAGCGATAATAGGCAAAGAAAATGATCCCCTATGCACGAGATGTGGGTTGACGGATGAAGATCCCGAACACCTCATTCTAAGATGCAGTGGTCCAGATTAAATTTGATGGGAAGTCCTCGGCACCACATGCATGCAAGAACTGTATGTCGATAGGGACGGGATCGATGGTGTCTACCAGTTTGCCCGTAGGGCACAGATTATCGACACCATCGACTAGACGAATGCGCTAAGCCGGGTGTAAAATGGCCGAGAGGCTGATTACACATCCTGATATATCAGGACCGTCTAACAAACAACAAAAGTCAAGTCAATATAATAGTTTTTAGTAGATAGCAGAAGAAAAAGTGAATAATGGCATTTTCTATACAGGAATAGATTCAATATTGATTAGATTCTCAATTTTTTTCAATTTTGTTACTTTTAATTTCTGTTTAACTTCCAGGTTCATTATTATTATAATGACACCCGACATTGAATGCAAGAATGTTATGGTTTTTTTATGTGTTAGGACTAAGACCGGAGATACAATATACAGAGACTTCATTTATGAAAGCTGTTCCTATCCGAAGTTAAAAACCTGAGGACGTCTGATGGTTTAGCCACAAAGACTTTCGTATCGGTAAGGCACCGAAATGTGGAACACGTTTTCAGAACCGTGTGGTACTCACAGATCGAAAAATTTGCTAAAGATGTTTGATGTATGATAGCTGCTCTTGGAGAAAATTTTTTCCTCGAGAACGCCTGCCGGATATCACCGACGTCATCAGGGTAAGCTGAGATTAGCGAGAGTAAGTTTATCCTCTACAAGAAGATAACAGGTCTTGCCTAGATTTAAATAAAATGGGAGGTGGAACTATCATTGATTTAAATCGCAGGACTCACGCTTGTGATGGTCAAAATAGTACGACAATGCCTGTGGCTTGTTCGTCTTGAATCTTCTTCAAAACCTTCCGCAAAAATGAAAAAAGCGGAAATGCATAGAAGTAGAAATTACCCCCATGAGTTGCGAAAGTCTCTACGGTCCAGGATTCAAGATCCTGCTTCCAGGATAAGTATCTTTGGTGATTAGCATTGGTTCTATTAGCAAAAATGCCTTCATTCACAACTGGGTTATGCCCAGCACTGATATTACGCGGTACACACCACATAATGATGTCGTTGGCAATGTTAGTCAATTGGTTAGTTTGGACTGCCCTCGATAATGGATATTAGAAATAGCAGTAGAATTATCTATTCATAGAAGGATGTGACAATCAGATTGATCGCCTCGAAACATCTAAGATCATAGAACGCAGCTCCCAGCTCACGAAAAATAATACGATACGATAATACGTTGTTCCTCAACGTCTCAAAATCCATCATTCTTATCACCCCGACAACATGCTCCTTAGCCGACCACCGAGGAGTCTGTAAAAATTACCAAAGATTACCGCGGACTCCTGATTAGACTGATAATTACTCTGATGTTAGATCGCCACCAAGACTAATTTTCATTTACCTCAGTCGACATTCTCGCCTTATAACTTCCGCTGGTTACTTTCAAAGCTAGAAATTTTTCTGTTTCTAAATAGTTCCTATATACACATCCGTATTTGATAGCTGAAGAAACCGCTCCTGACGCACCTAGCAAACGCTGGAAGTAAGCCTCTGAGTCTGCGCCGATGGCCAGATTTCAATTTTTACAGAAAATCTGATTTATCTCTTTAGAATTTTGAATAAAAACTAGAAATTTTCGATTCCGTGCAGACTCTAGTTGGCAAGCAACCGTAGAGCAATCGAATACTTAGACTGATTTTTATTGATGATTTTTATCGATTTGTGAAATTATATTATGATGACAACATAGATTCGAAGTACCCGAATAGTCATTTTTTCTTCCTTTTTGATACAGCTTTTGTAAATTTTCAGTTTCCATTTGTGAGCTCTTTTATTTATTAGTTCCTGAGGTTGCTGCATATCACGTACTGTACTCTGTGTACTGATTGATATCAATCCGACTTTCATCCTGAATTCTTTTGATCCACCGACTGAAAGTCTGGCACAGTGACACATTGATGTAGCTTTTTCAACATTAAATCTGCGATTTTCTTCAAGTTCTGGTCCATACAGCAGTCCCACCGGTCAGCATTGAGAGATCAAAGTTTCATAGGCCGTCGTTGAATTTTCGAGCGAGAAACATAAGAACGGTCTCAGGAGAATATTCAAATATGTCGTGATATTCTCTCAGACAAGTGAGGACCACTTCTTTAGCCCGCCGTTGCACTGTTTATGAAATGAATCATGCAACAAATGTATCGTTATCTCAAGCGATTTATCTGGAATTCCCTTCCTTATGCAGGCTCCAGGATAATATGACTGTCACAAGTGTGAGTTTTTTTCGTGAATGCCGAGATGACCTATCACAAGACTTATTAACTCAATGTAGGATAGACGTAAAGAATGATAACATCAAACCTACAGAGCAAAGTAAGCCTTGGGAGGCCTATTAGAGGCCAGTAAGAGAGCGAGCGAACGAGGCGGCGGACTAAGAGTCAGTCGGAGTGGGTGTTCCGAATGAGTGGGAAATGCAGGCCTGTACTTCTCGGCACTCCTCACTCGTGTGCGCCGTGACGTTCTGTCGCAGCGTAGATATCCCATACACTACTTATCCGGGAGCGCGCCGGATTCAAACACCTCCACTGACGCCTTCGAACAACCTCTCCGAATGATCAACCGTCTGAATGCCTGTCCCGTCCAACATAGAGCGGTCATACGCCGGTATAAGTCCTATGCTGAATGCCAAGAAGTCTTATATTGTAACTGGGAATGCTTCTACCAGTCCGCCTTGTGCTGTTGCCTATTCACAGGCCTCCCACTCCCTAAGCACTCGAGCCCCAGTCCTCATGCGCGTGGACAGATCGAGCAATTTCCGAGGAAAGTCGATTGAACGGCAGACTGAAGATAACGATCCAAAATTAAGGTTAACGTGGGGGATTTCTAAAAATCCCGTTGAATGTTATGACAAAAGACGTTATGAAAGACAAATGGATTCAAGCTAAAGTGATGGGTGAATTATCTCCAGTAATCTACCTTGTGAAGACCGTCGACAATCGTCTATGGAAACGATACATAAATGAGCTTAAATCGTCTTTTTTTATCTGAAATTCCAGAATGAGGGTTAGAAGCGGTTTCCGACACATCAGATTTGCCTGCAGGGAAAATTGGTTGTGTGGCTCAATCAAATAACCTTAGTGGATCCTAGAGATCGTAAGAGATCAGCAATGTAGGCAGTTCGAGTGACATCACCAATTCGGAAGCTGCAGCGAAACCGGAGGAGTCTTAAGACTTCCCATCCGATTTTTCTGAGCTGGTACCACTTGTATCGGATCAGCCCGCTCCACTAACAGTTGACTGACATTGTACGAGCCAATCCTTTCCAACCACTTCATGCACAGTAGGGTTGAGACGCTCTGCTCGAATTAGAAAACTACGAGGACGACTTCAATTGTAAAAGTTTTTACTCTATAATTGATGAATATGAATGTGTGGATATTTTTTCCCGAATCATTTGTAGACGGTTAATTGTGAGAATCTCAAGAATTATTTCCGGAGGAATGTGAATGTGAAGCTGGAATGGAGACATACACTAACAAAACATGTCATGTTCGATTTAGAATTCATAGCGTATAATTATGATTATTTAAATTATTGTAAAAATGGCGTATTGATAAGACTCGCCAAATACACCAAATAAATAGTTACTGCCATATATCCAGTGCATTTTATCCCTTTCCTGAATATTTCACAGACACTACAGTGTGATGAACCCCGCGAAAATTCATCACCCGTGCGGAAAAATAAAAGAGGAAGGCAGGAGATAATAATAGAAATTAATTGTAAAATAAAATACGGGCAGGTGGGAACGGAGGAATGAATGAGTGGGTGAAGAAGTGAGTAAAACTAATAGGGAAGGAGTTCGTGCAGAGGAGGATGGAGAATACCGCAAGAAGAGGCAGAGGAAAAGAAATACCGGAGGATATCGTGGAGCTGCCAGGAGTTATCTGCCGATTACCTGCCCCGCGAGATCACCTGCCCGGAGAGCGCCCGGCTCCCGAGAGGCGACATAAACGGCAGACCAGGCACGGATCTGTGGAGGAGGAGACACGCGGCTACGTCAGAGTGATGACCCGCACCCCCAACTGTCGAGGGGATGGACCACCGAAGATGGGAGGCCTCGTCGCGATACGACACCCATCGTCGCGAGGGTACCCGGCAGAGAAAAGTACCAGGTGGAAAGTCTCCCGGGGGCAAGCCGCGCAGACCCTTCTCCGCTCCTGAGCAACTCGCGAAGAGGGGAGAGCTACAGGATATCGCCGGTAGCGGAGTCGTGAGTAGGAGTCGACGTTGGGCAGCGATGGGGAGCTCACGTGTACGGGAGTCGATCAGCGAGGCCCTGAAGCCCGCGAGGTCGTGCCCGGGGCATCCACCTCCTGGCCCGAGATGCCCGGAAGGGCACTGGAGCCGAGGAGTGGCCTTAAGGGTAGCCCAGGAGGCTTTTAGCCCCGGGCGACCCTGGGAAGTGTTATCGGTACCGGGGGCAACCCACCCCCCTCGGGGAACAAGGAGATCAGTTCCCAAGGGCAGGGGTTGGGGCCACCCCCAGTTAAGCTACGTCCCCCCCGCCGTCGACACGACAGTATTAGAGAATATGTGATCGAGCAAGTGCAGAGTGTGAAGTGTGAGTGCGAGTGTGGATCCCGCCTGACCCGGTGACACCTGAAGCAGGAAAATAAAATTATAATAAACTATAAATCACGCGGAGTTAAGTAGATCCCTGGACCCCGCCCTCTCTCCAAAACCTACATCCTGAGCAGCACGGGCACCTAACCCCATCCGAGCCTCGCGTCCCCGGGGAGAGCAGTTAGCGGATCTGTCAAAACGCAGTACAGGGGTAAGTGGGAGCATCAAGGGCCAGTTAGCGGACCTGGCATATAATCGAAACGCAGTTAAGGGTTTCTTCGAGTCGCAGGTTAAAAGCCCGGTCTCGTTCAGGGGTGGCACTGGGTTACCAAAGTCACCTGGCGCCTGACGAATATTTAATTAAGAGAGCAGTTAGGGGAGCGTAAGGCTAGGGTGGTACGGGTGCGGACTGGGATCGCCAGGGGGATGGCCGCACCCAAGAAAAGCGTTACAACAGAAATGCTCAACTGAACGCAAGAGCTACGTCGAACAATGCTATCTTGGGGAGATATGCAGAAACATGACAAAATTCAAAAACTCTGAGGTAACAGTAAATATTATCGCACAAGTCTAATGTAAAGTCAGAATTCCAGATTAGTGGGGACCGGAGGGCATCGATAGAAGAATGATTTCCTTGGGAAAGATTGAGAAAGTTGGAAAATTTGAAACCTCTTGGTTTTTAGAATTTTAACCTCCACTAAGCAGCAGTAAATATTGTCGTATAGAGCTCCGTTAAATCTAGTATTCCTCTTTCGCTATGGTAAACACATTTTTTGATGGACAGCTTAATCAATGCATCCACTTCATTTCTTAACATCACTTATGCATATATACATATGTATTATCTAGTATTAAAGTGAAAATCGTATTTTTTGGAAATTTCGTATTATTTGATAAAACCAATCATTATTGAGAATTCATTAGCAGGCATAACGAATATAATTATGGTTTTTCAGCCATATGTTGCGAGATAACTTGTAGCAATCTTTCTCATGTAAATAGACGTATGAAATGACTGCAGAGCTAATGAATGCGTTTTATTGATAATTGAAAGTATCGAGTAGTTTAAACGTACTTGTGAAATCACTCGTATAATGCGGCAGATGTGTTCAATCGCATCTATGAAGAGAATGAGATCCAACTTCACCACACCAGTAAACGTATTATATTCATCCATTTGCATTCCAATGAAACGGCGCACAGCGGCAGTGTCAGAAAGATCCTCGTATATATTCCAAGGGTTCATGAAGTTACCTAAATGAGAAAAAAAGTGGTTTGAATAGAGCGACAAGACATAAATAATTCATTGGTGGAAAATTCGCATCTCGTTTTTCGCCGGTGTCATCCACGTCAACGTCATTGTCATTCCATCAGACTGTCATTGGAGTTTTTAATGCCCCAATGAAAAAGATGGACTGGTAAATTACACTTGCATCCCTGTCGATTTGTTTGTTTTGTACAATTGACGATTTATATTGAAATGCGTACGTGCGTACGCATAATTATTAGTCTATTTTACTTATCAATTGAATTTGATTGTCATTGCTCAATTTCTCAAAGTTTTAATAATAAAATGGAGTTTTTAATAACATACTGACGCTCGTAAATTTTATAGCGGGAGTTTCTCAACTAACGATACGGTATGTGTAGGTAATATCATTCGAATACTCAGAAAATTGACTTTTTTATAATACTCTTCTCAATGCACTATTTTAACTGGGTTCTGACTTCTGAACATTTGAATGCAAAAGTGCCATGTCCTGTAATGCATGGCAATTTCCACTTAAATAATATTTTAAGCCTCTCGTCAAAGAATACATTATGCACGGGAAGATTTTAATAAGAAAAATTACGATGTGAAAATCGTAACCACGGACGAAATCGCGAATTCCGGGAAATATACGTTAATTTTTTTTGGAAATTGGGACTTTGATTTTTTTTAAATACATTTCTCTATCCAAACATCCCGAATTGGAATCGTAAAAAAAAAGGGACAGAAAATTTCGATGTACATATTTTTTAAAAATGTTTTTACTATCTGAATAATTTGTCAATGGAATAGGAGAGAATATAATTACTTTCTCAAATTTTAGGTTTCAAATTTGATTTTTTTCTCCGATAGTGTAAATAAATTGAATACTATATTAATTTCATTAAGTTGCACTAATAAAGTAAAATAAATCCATTTTTTTATCGGTTATTCAGGAAAAGAATACCTTAAATTTTCAATTAACCGGAATTGACAATTTATTGACAATTTTTGTTTTTTACGGAAAACGAGAAAAAAAATATTGACATCTACTTGAATTGTTACATGCGGAATTTTCGTTTTTACGATGTGAACTCACAAAATATCAAAGCAGCGAATGATGTTTACAAATCGGGTATAAGGAAATAAACAGAAGGCTCCATGTTCGCGTTTTTTGCTTCATTGTTTCCCTTCATTATCGACTCATTATTTTCATGATGTGAAAGTGGTCTTTATCGCGGCGAATGCTCGCAGATGTTTCTGACATTTTTATTTTTTTTTGGAACGGAATTTCCATTTTTGATATTCTATGAAAGCCCAACTCTCTGGAATTGACTTCATTTTTCCTCCAACACAATTGGAAATTTTCTTCGTCAATGTAATAAAAAAAAAGGAATTGATTTGGAGCTATTCTTTTTATTTTCAAATTACGATTGACAATAGTAAAATGGCCAAATCCTTCATTATGGTCCACCGTTCTAATTCTACCCATGCAATTTTACGATTCAAAAATCGTAAAATTAACTAAATAAATCGTTCCGTGTGCGTATACCATATCATTCGAAAGCTTAAAAAAAACTTCTCGTTTAGACTACTTTCGTTGAACCATTGGTGGTACTGTTGGAATGATAAAGTTTGAAATATCAAAAATTGATCTCATTTTCAGCCACTTAACACCTACAATTCTCACAATTGGTCATTTCTTCAATTGAGGAATACATGTATTATGCCATTTCCAAGTTCATGGAATCATCTTTGAAACGGTCATTGTTTCATCTCCGTATTTCCCTCTCCACAAAATTGATGATCTCCCAAACATCCTGTAACGAGCATCGGGGATGCCCATTAGGATCCCCAAGAAAATTCAGAAATCAGGAGAGAGAGTGAGACCATTAGGACGTAGTTTAGATTGAGGAAAATTAGGACTTCCCCCCTTTCGGGGTGGTTTAGAACAGGTTAAGGGTTAGGGGGAGTTTTAGAGGATAGGGTCAGCCCTCCGGATCGGGTAGGTCCGGCTAAAAAGCCGACGCTCCAGGAAAAAGGGTTTAAGGGATTAATTGGTACGGGTGGAAGGCCGGACGGTGTAAAAATATTAGCAACCCCGACGGAGTGCCAAAGACTGATTACGGGTGGAAGGTCGTAAGGGGTAGATGCAGTCACTACCCCTACGAATTACCAAGACTGCATACGGGTGGAAGGCCGCTCGGAATAAAATCAGTCGTTATCCCGGCGGATTGCCAAATTAAGTAAGGGTTAGGGAAATAAAACTAGGTTTAAGATTTAGAAATAAGGGTCTTTTAGTCACGAGAATCCCGGAGAACCGATCCGCAAAAGGAAATGAGGGTGATAAGAAAATTTTAGGGATGTGGAATTAATTCAAATTTGAATTAATTCTCCCGCGAAGGGCTTGACCCAGAATAAGGTAGAGGGATCCACCAATCGACACCCGATCGATTGGTAGGCGTGATTAGGGGGTCAGCGCAACGCGACACTGATCTCCGAAAATCAGTTGCGCATTAGTCACGAGAAAATACGCACGTGAGTGAAGTGACGCTCCCAGGACATAAGGAGAGTGATACAGTGTACCACCCAGGACGCCAGGACAATTAGCTGCCCCAGGATAGTCCAGAAGCGAAGAAGGAAGGCAGCAACGAAATCTACCGTGAGTTTTACGGTTATATTTAGAGATTTTTCCCCTTTTGGCGGCTCCCCGATAATTATTGGCGGTTGTGATATTTTTCCGAGCCATGGAAATGGCCTCGGTTGTGTCCCCCAAAGTTTGGGTGGTTTGGAAGAGGTTTGGGGAGGATTTTTCCGAATAAATTCGGCTTACATTATCCCCCAGTGCGGTTGGAAGGTCATTGGTGTGAATTGTGGGGTTTTGAGAGTATTTGTATGGGAGTTATGAGTGAAAATGGTCCATGGCCAACGAACAAGGCCAGCGGTTCTCCCTCGTGGTGCCATCAAAGCAGCTAACGAGCGGTTATGCGCAACAGGTGGGGAATCACGTGTTAAATTCCCTCGGGATTATTAATTGTTTTAAGGGGGCTAATTCTGTACCCTTATACCTAAAATTTTGTGGTATTGGGGGGAATAGTGGCCCGAACAATATTGTTCAGGGTTGTCCGGAATCTGCTCAGTGGATTCCGAGTCATGGGATTTTTAAGAAAAGTTGAATTTAGTGGGGTGGATTTCTCCTCGCTGCTAACCGAGCAGCGAGGCATAGTGCTGTCTCTCTCGCTCTCTCTCTCTCGCTCGTGCTCACTCGTAGAGGGTCCGATTCCGGGAAATTATCGATTTCCCGGGCGCAAATAATATTTCGGTTATTTCTCGGATTATCGCCGATCGATAATCCTTGAGGCCGCATTCCGGTGGGATTATTTTGTGGGAATGTGGAAAGTCAACAAAATATTTCGGATTTTGTTAAATAATTTATTTTTCGCGATGATTTGATAAGGCACTTGAAATGGTATTGAGGATTGGGTGTGAAAACTCATATTTCGCGATAATTGAAGAGGAGAATAAAATTTGTATTTGGGAATTGGCCGGAACGCTAACATTTAGAGAAAATTGAAATTGCAAACTAAAATTTGGAAGCAAATTAGTCTAATAAAATTGTTCATCTTTGATTACTCTTGTACTGAATTTTGACGTTAATAGCGGAACACGTAAGGACAATGTTTGGTTGCATTAATTTATTTCTCGCCTCCCGTTTGCCTTTTTTTTTGTATTTTTCCCGATTTTTGCAGTAACCTTGCCCCCATCTACGATCCACCCCTCTCTCCACAACTGGCATACTGAGCGACCCCAGGACCGTCACCTTTCCCCAAAAGCCTAATTATCCTTTCCGTTCCCTTCAGGTTTCCTTTTTGATTTTAGGGTATATTTCTGAGTTAGAGCTTTAGGAGTTTGAGGTACGATTTTCGATACCATGAATTTCGAGGTTAGTTAAGTTTAGGTTTACAGAATTTTCCGGTTTGGTAATTCCGGGCAAAAATTACCTGGCGCCCAGAAGGTTAAATTTTAGCAGGTTTTATTAGGCCTAAGGGAAGTAGGGCGAAGGTAATGGGCATTTTCCATTCCCCGTGAAAATGTCACGTTACAATCCTTACAGGTGTAAAATACAATGGTTCATTTGCGCCTTTTTTTCGTATGATTTTTATCATTAGGTAATCGTTCACGATTAAACATACGTAATATAACAATACGAATAGAATATCCTGTGGCGCGCAAAAATTTTTATTTGAGGAACAACATTACATTGATGACAAATTAAACTTTTGGTTTGTAGATATATGTGACTGGAAAGTATTAGTGAAAATTTTCATCATTTCTGAAGTGATGATTCTCAATAATTAAACTGAAATTACACGATTTCGCTCGGTCGGACACGATTTTTTTGGAATCTCAAAAAAAGGTGGATTTTTTCTATGAATTTTGACATTTTTTGAAACAATTGCTTCTATATCTTTGTTCAATTTGAATATTTTCATCGTATTCTCTCTTATTCTGGAAACTCGATGTTTGTGTTCTTGTATGGAAATATGTAATTAATAGTTCCTCTCAATTCCCCCATTCGCATATTTCAAATTGCACGCTAGAAAAAGCGAAGTATAGCGTCGATTTGGAAAATTGAAATGTGAAAATGAGGGAATTCAGAGTATCAATTAATTACCTGTTTCCATACAAAAAACCGAGTATCGAGTTCCCTGAGTAGGGAAAAATACGATGAAAATATTAAAACTGCAAAAAAAATATGGAAGAGATTGGTTCTCCATGATGGAAAAAATGTCAAAATTCATGAAAAAAATCGAACTTTCGTCCACAATTAAAAAAAAAAAGATAGTGCCCGACCTGCTTAAATGGTGTAATTTCTGTGTAAAAATTGAAAATCGTCACTTTAGAAATGATCAAAATTTTGGTAGTATTTTTTTAATAAAAAGGCAGTTAAAAAGCGAAATTAAAAAGAAAACTTTGGTCAATTTTTCGAAAAATTAGGAATTAA